CTGGAGGGGGCATCCTCGCCATTTCAGCATAAGACGGTTGTGGTACTGATTGTGGTACTGGTTGTGGTTGTGGAACTGATTGTGGTATTACTGATTGAGCAGTAGATTGGTGAATAGGTGGAAGCGACGGGTAGTTGACTTGGTGGGGAAGACGACTTGCATTGGTCATGAGAGGTCCTAGGCCACGAGAATTCTGAAAGGTCGTAAGACGGGATCGCATAAGTGGGGGAATCAGTTTGTCTGTTGATCCAATGCTTTTTCTTGGAAGTCTTAATCTGTTGAATAAGACATCTTTCAGGTTGGTTACCAATGCACCGATTTAATTTAATAAAAAATTTAATAAAACTGTGATCAACGTGTAACTGGGACCGGGAACACTTCAGGAGCACAGAGGCTGAGTGCCAGGAAAACTGGGAATTATCTCCACTAATGTACCCAACAAGGCACGTAGCCCAATAACCAGTAAGGCTGCCATAAAAGGCTAGGGCGGGACATTGAGGGTAAACAATGAATAACGACCCTGGCTGGAGGTCTGTAACATTGCCTGCAACCTAACTGCGTCAAGCGAGACTTACGTCGCCTCCTGAAGAGCGGTTCCGGGACAGCTGACCTAAGCATACATGGAAACTAAATATATCAAGTAAAGGAGCAGGTGCAAAACTGAGATAACTAGTGTACAAGTACATAAAATAAGAAACGGGAAAAAGGCTGAAAACTAGCAGAGCTGAGCTACCGCTTACAAACTGAAGTAAATGCGGTCAGACGGAGGCCAGAAAAAACCTGCCCAAAAAAACCTCGAAGGGAAAAAATGCGGGCAGGAAATCTGGGTAGGAACCAAGGCTCAAGCTCAAAGCCCTTCCTACGGGACTTTACAATGTAATCGAGAATATGTTGCTCCTAAAAATAAATAAAACAAAAATTTAAGAAAAACCAAGGAGAGGTTGGTTCGTAAGCCTAGATGACGAACACGTGATATACGCAGCCTTATATACCCCCGATATGGCTACCCATGGTGCACCCGGCCTAGTACCCAGGCCCTGTTGTATCTCGTGCCGTCAAAATATTTATTTCTGCCTTCTTCGCGGGCTCATTCGTCAGAAATAACATATTTTGACTCCACTACACAACATCAACAGACAAAACGTAATGGCAAATAAGTTTATTTTGGGACGGCTTGGCGAGAACCAACCCTACAAAGTACGTAGAGTGACAAAGTATTGGGCGAAATGACAAATGAAAGCTCCTAAAGCCCAAGAAACTTGGAAACTGAAAGCCTTTTTTCTAGGTCATCATCGGTAGGCGTCCTTGGCTAGAACGGACTTTCAGCGGCCGAGCCACTGAAACACACTGTCACAAACCCCATTATAAGCAGCGAAGGTGGCCCCTCACGAACGCAAGGAATATAAACCAAAAGTGGAAGAGTCAACCCCGACAATTCTCAGGTCCTTGCGAAAAGCCTCTCTAATTGTGGTATAGCTGATAGGCTCGTCCTGGGAAACTAACTAAAAAGAGTTGTTCCCGCGAAAAATGGGGCAAAAATGAGATCCCCGGAGCTAAAGGGGATGGAAAAAAGAGCAAGGTACCTCTTTAGAAGCTTGACAGGACAAGCAGGGCCAAACATTTCCGAAAAAATCACTTCGAGTCATCGTCCTTACAAAGTTGGTCGTTCTTGCTTTTGAGAACTTTAATGATCATGAACCCTCATGAAAGAAAATATAATACCCTCTCATTATGGAGACCTCATCAAACCTAAAATCGTTTTGAAAACACACCTAGCCACTTCAATAATCGAGTTATCCCTGGGAGAGGGGATACCCGTCATGGTATGAACCCATTTAATACCATAAACATCCGAGTCTACGACGCACGGGGAGTGCGACTCTTCAATGAGGTGTTGCAAATACAAGGCAACATGGCAGGGACTAGCGGGACAGGCCCAGGAATGAAGCTTACTGGCAGTAAAACATTTTTACTTGCGAGAAGCACGAAGGTACACCGTCGATTGCATTGTAGACTGTCTGTCAGCCTCAGGGTTCAACCCTCTGGTGGGAAATTCTGGGGCCCACGCTAGAAACCAGAGCGGAATATATCTGAAAAGTAATCGAAAATACAAAAGAAAATGTGAGGATCACGAAATAAAGAAGAAAAAACACCGGAAAAGGGAAGTGAGAGGAGAGTGGGCGGGGGGGTCAAAAGGCTACAAGCAAAAACCTAATGGGTCCAAACCTAAAGTACGCATAACACGCGTGTAGAGGCACAGGCAACACTTTCCATCAGGTGGCGTAGAGCAGAAGCCCGCCAGGGACGAGGGAGGTGTGGGGCGCCGAAAATAAACTCGAAGCGCTATGACGCCAAAAAATAAAGGCCTGGTTCTGAAAAGGGAATTACGGACCTTCCCTGGAACAAATAATCCCTGGAACTTAAGCAATAAAACCCAGTCCACAACAAAACTATTCCAATGCACTCCATCTCTAGTAGAAACATTTCAGAAAATAGCTGACTTCCATACGTGAGGAATAAGGGCTCCCGTGAGCGCGGCAGAGCCCAATGTGTCTGATATACATGACTCTGACAATGAGGCAAACAGGTGGGCCAAGCCAGTTGTTGTCCTATCCCCAATTTTGAGCGAAGGCATAAACAGCCTAACAGCCTGGCTGAAAAAATAGAGAGTTAAGCCAAGGCAACTCGCCGTTGTAACTAACAGGCGAACCTGTCAATAATGTAAGGACCTAAGAGGTGATTTAGCCCTAGCAAAACAAAATCGTTGAGGCCGTAACCATCGAAGTCAACGAGCTTGCAGATACAGACCGCACTAGCGTTCAGGTCCCTAGGGATCCACTTGACCTCGAACAAAATACAATGATGGGAGCAAATTGGAAAACAACTAGGGCTAAATCCTTGAGATCGCATTTCCTGCTGCCGTCGAGAAGAATGGATTCGACGTTCTGGTTGTCAGAATACCAAAAAACCTTGGAATTAGATGAAGGGCTCGCGAAGGCTAGTAAGGCAAGACAAACCGCTTTGAGCTCTCTTCAAGTCGATCTACGAACACTTTCCGACCAATTCTGATAAAAAATCAACTCAGGTTCAGACTCCACTTAAACGCCGCAGGCTGAATCGGAAGCATCGGAGAAGCCGGAGCTTACTCTCACTGGAAGCGAACTGGAACCCCTCGATAAATTTTGCCGTAGAGAGGCTAACATTGTTCGACCAAAATTCAATTTCATACAAAGAATCAACGGACAGGAAAACCTAGCTATCCCAGGAAACAGCTGAGTAAACAACTGAGAAAAGAAATCGGGCCATAATGCACGCGACGGATCCCACGCTACTCGAGGAGGAAATACTATGGGCGGCTACACACGGGACGCGTAGAACGTGGACTGTGGTGGACGACTAATATGAAGACAAAGCCGCCAGGTCGCGAGACAATTTAGCAATGCGTTCATCCGTGGCTCTAATACTTCCATCCAGAGTGATATGTTGAGATGAACGCGAAGCCACTAGAAAATTCGAACGGGCTCCCACAGGGACTTTTCCTCATAGGAATTCGAACAAAGCGAGACTAAAGCAAATCGGCATGGACAGCCCGCAAACTGTAAATTAAGGCCTGAACGCGATAGGCTCCTCCTCCTATTCTTGGTTTTCACTCACGTGACCTCTATCATGACGACGGTTGCTATCCGCCATGTTGGAGCCCATCCAAATGTAAACAAATGCCCTTCGATGTGAGATCGTAGTCGAATGTTGAGATGGTTCTCTGCGTTATTCCTGGCTGTGGGAATAGAACTGGTCGAGATCAAGGAGTGGGATTTTATCGTATACCAGCAGTCGTTACTAATAAAGGAGAATTTGAGGAAAAGCTAACTGCAGAGAGGAGAAAAGAGTGGATCAAAGCGATTAGTCGCGGCGATACGGAGGAAAAGCAAGTTCTTGAAAGCGAACGTGTGTGTGGCAAACATTTTGTCAGTGGAAAGCCAGCTCCTTATTGGAATAGGTACCATGACGATTGGATACCGACTCTAAATCTCGGAAAGAAGAAATATGGCCCTGAAGTCGATGTTAAAGCCAATGCACAGAGGACCGAGAGGGCAAAGAAGCGAGAACAACTTGCAATCGCCCGCCAAGAACGCGAAGTGGCAGACAAGCGGCAAAAGCTTAATGAAAGCAGCCTTCCTGTTGCTGAGATTGACTTTGGCGAGCCAAGCACTTCGACCAAGGAAATTCAAAATGAAGGGACCGAAGGATCTAGCGATGAAACATTTTCTGTGACTCAAACCGAAGAGCTTTTGCGAAGGAGAAGAAATCGCACCGGAAGTAGGTGTAAAGGACGCCGAATGCCAAATTAACCCTGACACAAAGGAGGGATGGTGCCAAACCGCGGAGTTTGAGTATATGTTTCAGAAAAACAAGTACCAAGCACCAGGTAAAGATTTCTTTGATTCGGATGATAAAGTCCGTTTTTACACAGGCCTCCCTTCAATGGAAGTGCTGATGGTTGTCTTCGATCATGTGTCGCCATATGTAACTCGACAAACACAGTCGCTGGATCGATTTCAAGAGTTTATGATTGTACTCATGAAACTAAGATTAAATGCACCGCTACAGGATCTTGCCTACCGATTTTCTGTGTCAGTGTCCACCATTTCAAGAGTATTTTATCATTGGATTGTGGTGATGGATTCGAGATTATTTCGCTTTGTTTACTGGCCAAACAGAGACCAACTTTAAAAGACTATGCCCCAGTGCTTTCAGTATGCATTTGGGAAGAAAACCACCGTGATCATTGATTGCTTTGAGGTATTCATTGAAAAGCCTTCCAACTTGCTGGCCAGGGCACAGACTTTCTCAAGTTACAAACATCACAATACCATCAAGGTTCTAGTAGGGATAACTCCACAGGGAACTATCTCTTTTGTTTCAGAAGGCTGGGGAGGTCGTGTCTCAGATAAGTTTTAACTGAGAACTGTGGTTTTCTGGAAAAGCTTATCCCAGGGGACATGGTTATGGCAGATAGAGGATTCACCATCACTGAATCTGTTGGATTTAGGCAAGCAAAGCTTGTAATCCCAGCTTTCACAAGGGGAAAGGCTCAGCTAGACCCAGTGGATGTAGAGGAGACAAGAGGCATAGCCAACGTTAGAATCCACGTGGAACGTGTTATTGGACTACTAAGACGAAAGTATACCATTTTGGAAGGAACTCTGCCAACTGACTTTCTGATTTGTAATCATGAAAACTCTGACCGTCGTATTCCATTAGTGGATCACATGATAAGAGTTTGTGCTGCTCTTGTTAACTTTTGTCCTCCAATTGTTCCATTTGATTGAATTTGATGTCATATACATGTATTTTTGTATCTGTCCTAGAATGTATTCACAATCGCCTCCCCCCTCCAATGGAAGCTTGGTTTAATTTGTGGCCCAACCCATTGGATGATATGGCCACATATTAAAATTAATCCAGTCCCCTTCCATGGTTGAAGCACTGATATTTTCTTTGATGGGGAAATTGCTACTGATATAATAATGATGTGGAAACCCAGGTCGTTGTAAAGGTAACAGGGATTTTTTCTACCTAAGAATGTGTCTTATGTCTGTTTTGTGTTTATTGTGGAGCAAGATGTTGTTATCCTGCTTTGAACGGGGCAGGTTAAGATTGCAGATTTAATGAACTGTGAACTGACATGCATACAGCTATGCTGTTTTCAGAGACAAGAACATCATTTTAGGGGTGGATCATTTTTTATCTATAAAATTCAAATCTAACTCAAATCTATTTAAATCTTAGCCTTGTGTGAGTGCTTGAATATTTAACTTATTTCAAGCTTTGCCATGTGGAAAGATCACTTTATTTCTATATAACAACATTCATACTTGGCTACTGGGTTTCTTGGAAAAAAACAACAAAAGGAATCAATGTTGAGGTTAAGCAATGAGTACTACATTCCTATTGTTTTATTCCTCTTAGCACCTCTTTTTGTCTACCTAATTGTTTCACAAGACATAATTTGTTAAAGTTTCCTGTAAAAATATTGCAGGGCCAGCACCCAAACAGGTTTTGTTACTAGGTGCATACATATGAAATGGAAAACAGTAATTACAATAACATACAAGTGTTCATACTATTCATTTATTTTAAGCAATATAGTGCTTCTTGTTGGACCATAGTGATACTGTTTACTAGCCCCTTCATTTGTGTTGTCCTCTTTCATCAAAAGACACAAGCTTTTTTTTTTTTTGTAATTAAAGATTGCCTTAGACTGCTGCTCCCAAGCCACCCTCCTCTAAGGCTGTCGGAAAGTTTGATCAACACTAGTCCAATCAAAGAAAAACTATGCGTACACTGTCGACCAAGCCAATGAGTACAAGTAATTTAATCTAGTTATTAGGAATATGCATCTAACTTGATATTGATCGATCGTTTATTGCGACAGTGCTGTTTTGTATGGTCAATGCTCTTCAATAAAATGAATTGAGCGCTCTATGAAAGATATGTGTATATATAAATACTCGTATTCTGGGTAGAATGTATTTTGCAGAGCGCTCAATTCATTCAATTGAGGAGCATTGACCATACGAAACAGCACTGTCTTAATAAACGATCGATGATTAATCCTGAAGCCTGAAGTCCTGTGAAGTTATTAATATATATCCATATTGTCTAGGGATGTGGTTTACACATCTGATTTTGACGGCTTTACTCTTTGTCATGTTTAAGTGTTACTCGAGACAATAAAATGTTATTTTGTAAAGCAAATCTACATGTCTGATACAGTTTTCTGTTTTTTTTTCTCTTTGAACTGTCTGAAAAGTATCTGAGAGCCCCTGCATTTAAAATGAAGGAAACAAGCTCATTCTTCCATTTCTAAGACATGCAGTTAAATGAGGCCTCATTTTCAACATATCAAAATTTACAAATGTTGGATCTTCTCCAAATACTAGGCAGGTAGAAAATGCAATTGCAAAAACCCCACAGTCACTGCCATTTCTTTGTTGCTGCACTGGCATAGGATTGAGAGCTTCCAATCTCCCACCTAGCAAATCATTTGCCTGTTCCTCTATTTCCTGGCTTAAAACAGAGTCATAAAGGCTGTCATAGAGGTTAACATGTCCTGGCAGACATCCAACTGAGCTGATACACACCCAGTGGCTGTTACCAGTATGTAGAATTTGCACAAATTCACTACTGACAACGTCAAAATTTCTAACTCGACCAAGTGTAGGTCGCTGAAAGCCATCAATTGCTGCATTCTCAAGCTGTAGTAAAACTTGAGCTTGCTGAATAATGTCACAGTCTAGCCATCCAGTAGGACTAGTAATTAAATCAAAATGGGAGTCTGTCATCTTTGCAAAGGCAGAAGTCTTATCAGTTTCACCCTCACAAACTTTGGTGATAACAACGTCAATGTCCTCATCACTACTATCGGAACCGGAGGAAGAAGAACAAGTGGTAGCTGGAACAGGAATAGCTTTTTTGCATGCAGAACATTTCCAAGTTGTTCTGTGGTTGTTGGGCATTCTTTTCAAATTTAAACAAGGCAGGTGAAAAAACTTTCCATTTTTGCAGCCTTGTCCATGACACTCTACTAACTTGTCTGTGGGTAAGGGCTTTGACTTGCAGATACAGATGCTGTCACACTTCATAGCTGCTTGATTTGATACAGCATGTGATACCTTTCTAGTACCTCCTCTCTTCTTAAACTGAGGAAGTCTGCAACAATGAGGGCAGTACCATGTCTTCGGCATTTTCACAGAAGTAAGAGATAGACAGGAAGCGTGAAACCCTTTGTAAGGGCATTCCTCATTACTGCATAAAATGCTCTCTTCATCTCTTTTCATTCGACAGAAACAGATGGCATCCTTATCTGGTAATTTAACTGGCACTGTGCAACGTCGAGTATACCATCGCCCCAAAATCTCAGGGAGAATGCATATTGTCCAAAATATTTCTAATTTAGGCAGCACACGGTTCCAGTGTTCAATGTCAGGGTATATGCGTTGAACTACTAAATGAATGTTTTTCATTTTATCAATAGCACATACCACAAAGTCACAATATTTGACATCTGGCACTGAGAAGAGTTGCTGCTGTACTTGAAAGTAGTAGCTGTGAGTTTTCTTTAGTTGGAAGTGCCCATTTACTTTTTCTAGGCAGGAATTCTTTTGTTGAATATAGTCCTCAAAATTACCATCTTTGATGATGAAAGGGCACTTCACTTCCCCACACCCATTCCCGCAACAGCTACAAGACACAAGGAAATCAGGTGTGGCATGGAGAAATGCTTTCCCTTTGTTTATAAATAATCCACACCTCTTTACCTCTAAGTTTGCATGCTTTGCTTTGACAGCCGCTTCATATGCCTTTATGGCATCACTCTCGTGCTTTTGACCATGCCTGACTGCTTTAGTATTGACCTTATAAAGGCTTGGGTAGCAAATTGTCCTAATCAAGGACTGGGAGGGTTGTGCAAGGTTTGTGTGGAATACTGCACTGCTAACAGATGCGCCAATTCTGCCAGCACGATGTCTATAAAATCCTGAACCGTTTGCCTGGGTTCGTGAGTTTATTTCCACTTTGTTTATGTGGTCCTCAGAAATATTTAATGTGATATTAGTACACAATTTAAGTAGCTCCGGGTACTGAAGATCAAGATTTTTAGTCTGAAATAATTCTGAAATGGTCGGTAGTGTGCGACTTTCATCGATAAACTGATCGGCATAAGGATCAATCAAGCTTAGAGCCACAGCTTTGTTACGACAATTATTCAGTTTGGCATAGACCTCCTCCATTTCTCTATCTGATGGCGGAGTCGAACCAAATTGTTGTCCACGGCGTTGTTCTACGGTATTTGTTTCCTTATTCTCCCCAGCATTTTGAGGTAATGACTCAATTTGCAGATCCAATGTGGTTTTTAGCTTTTGGGCAGACGAAAAGTTGATATCCTCTGCTCTCGCGTATGGTACTTCGTTCACATACGTCGGTAAAACCCACGTGCATTTCACTTGAGTACAGGCGAGCTTTCCTTGGATCTGTGTTATGGCTTCGATGTAAAACAGAGCACTCGCTACATGGGAGCAGGTTTCACCTAGGCCTGCTTTGCAATCTAAACAATGCGCCGAGATAATGTTTCCATCTTTCTCTGTGATGATCCAAATATTCACTAGAGGATCTCTCATGCTCTGCGAATGTCGCACTTTAGCCACTACAACATGCTTGTCCGCTATTTCCTTTCCATTAACTGACGTGACAAAGCCAGAAACCATTTGATTATATGCCTGAAGACTTTTGAAAGCCTTAAATTGCTTATTCGTGTAATGGCTTGTCTCTAGAACTAAGTACGAGAGTAAGTCGGAGACTTCTATTGGCGGCAAGCATTCAGGACTCAACTGCTCGCTCGGTAAAGCCGCCGGATCTACTCCCACCACAGAAATCTTCTTCAAATATCGTTCTTTTATGTGGTTTTCTAGGCCCTTGGCATAGCTTGAAAGCACCGGTATCTTTTGCAGAATATCCTCTGGAGATTCTGGATTCTCGCCTTTGAAATTATCCATTAAAAGTTAAATTAATTGCACGTGAACGCTTCGTCCTACATAGAAATGGCTTACATTTGCATAAAATATGAGCTCTTACATGGGCTCCAACATGGCGGGTGCCTAATTTGCATAAATGTGTGACGTCAGCTGAAAACCGAGAATAGCTAGACCATAGTCAAGAAAAATGGCAATAGGGATACCTTGGCTTCTTCTAGATTTCTGAAGCGGTTTGAGGGAGGCTGACAAGAACCCAAAGGGAAGCGCGCAAAGTAGAAAATACCTAAAAATCCAGGTGCCGAGATCCCAGGTGAACGCAAGGAAATACTGGTGATCAGGGAAAATTACGATAACCGCACTAGAGGTAAAATATGAATAAATAAAAACCCATATCAAAAATATAAGTGGCCATGGACAAGTCTTCGCACTTGAATTTCTGTTTGAAGAAAAAAGTGCAAACGTGCCTAAAATCCAGGATTAACCTTTGTTAGCCGGAGCGGCGCGTCAAACAGAAAGCGGGTAAATGATATTGGAATGCAAAAATTTTTAAAAGGAGGTTGAGGCTGGGAAGCTCATTAACAGCTACGGACAAAAAGAACTGTAAACACGTGCAGAGGCATTGTAGGATTTGTAAAAAAACATAGAAAGCTGGAAGAAGGGAATTTGTACCTAAGACTAAAAACATTCAAAATGAACAGAGAAACTAGCAAAGTATGCCAGAAATAGATAACTGTGAAAAATCTTCCCCAAACTGAAGGCAGAATAGAAATATCAACGGTACACTCAGAGCTCTAAACCGCGCCTAAAACTAGCGGGGTGAACGTCAGAAGAAACTGGTATAATATCGAGACAATCCTGATCCATATTACGGCTAGCCGCCTAAAAAATTCAGTACTAAATTAGAATAGACTGCACCTGATTGTTGTCCTTCATCTAGCCATTTGGGAGTTTGGGATGTTTGGCTTGTCCATCGTCGGGTAACAGGAACGCTTTCCACGGGCAAAACAGGTCCCGACACTGGGTCGTCGAGAAGGCGAAAAACAGGAACGTTTGACATGAGGCTGGGGTTGCATATGTGAAGTTGAGGTGGACGCCGGCGTTCCCACTGGCGAGGATCTGTTTTTGAGTGGTCTTCTTCTTCTTACGGGCCTAGTACGCTACACGGCCGCAAAATTCTGCACTGTGGATCCCTTTAAAACTGGTTTTCGTTGGCCTTCTTCTTGAACTTACGTGGTTCGTTATACTTTAGTTTCTTAATTTCCTTCATCTGCTGCTCGGCCAAATATTCATTAGCGCGCTTGATTTGACCAACGGTTTCTATTAACAAAACTTTAAACGAGTCCATTAACTGTTTATTATTCTCCTCAATGAGATCGGACACTTCGTCTTTGCTGACGGGTATAACGCAAGAAAGAGCCGATAAAAACGTTAAGAAAAACCAAGGAGAGGTTGGTTCGTAAGCCTAGATGACGAACACGTGATATACGCAGCCTTATATACCCCCGATATGGCTACCCATGGTGCACCCGGCATAGTACCCAGGCCCTGTTGTATCTCGTGCCGTCAAAATATTTATTTCTGCCTTCTTCGCGGGCTCATTCGTCATAAATAACATTACTAACAGGTACTTTTAAAAGTCACTTTGGAAGGGTGTCGTTTAAAACTGGATAAAGACAAGGGAATTGTTTGAAGGGAATTCCACTCATTTGCAGCAAAGTTGTTACTGGTCCATCTTAAGGGTAAGAGCTTTTCGTTTTGTCCCTTTTCGTTATTAACTCACATCTTCTGCAGCTGGTGTTTTCCAGTTAATCATATATGTAAAGAGAAAAAAAGCGATTTTTTCATTTTCATTTGAGTCACATTTGTAATTATGAAAATATTAGTTTAATTCAGTACTGTTTAATATTGCGTCAATTTAATTGAATGAAGGTATTTTAAGTGTAATACAACTTCGTCCTGGTTTTAAAAATCTCATTTTATTGAGTTTGATAGAAATTTTGTGAGTAAGTGCCTAATGTGGACTTGCAGATGCAACAAAGAAATTACAGAGAAGTGTTTCTCGCTAAATTTAGTGAAATATGCCTCACATTCACTTAAGATTAATGCTTTTTTTTCTCTGGTTTCACAATTCTGTACTTGGATTTTTAAGTTATTTCTTTGGTTTGTGTTTTGTATTTTGAGCTGTAAAAATGTATTTCGTAAATCATGTCTGTGTAGAGTGTTGATAGTGGTTGACATAGTTTAAACAGATGATCAAAGACTATGGCCTTGTCTACACTTATCAAGATATTTTTTAATCTTCAACTTCTTTTTCCAGGTGTCTCTTCCATCCACATGCATGTCAGAGTAAAAGATTAATTTTTTTATGGACTTGTCTCTCAGACAAGCACTATATTAAATTGAGCACTACAGAAAATACAATAACATATAATGATACTCTTTGTGTGTAAGTCCAAAACTGTGCATAAGCAGCCTAGTCCCTAGGCGTTTTCGGCTCAGTCAATGCTTGACTCTACCGTGATGCGATTTAACGTAAACGATTTAATTTGTTCGATTTAGAGGGAAACTGTTCCATTTGGAAGGTATCTAATCAATTTGAAAAGTATCTGATCGAACTAACCCGTCTGCTGCGAGAAAATGGCACTCAATTTAGAAAAGGTTTGTTGACTGAATTAGAGCTATGGCGCTCATTTTGGAATGTTGACTCTCGATTTGACCTGTTGAATTTTGACAGCATGAACGCGCCATAGCTACAAAGGGTAGATCTCGGATCCACTTGTGCTATAAGCAGATACAGGCATGAATTGTTCCATCTATGTGTAGCCCTTGTTCTTTAAGGATAGTTTAAAATATCTGCTGTATCTCGTGGCCAAAAGGTAATACAAGGGAGGCCTTTTTCACTGGTTGCTATTAGCCACATCTGTTATCTAAACAGACAGGGCCAATTATTTAAACGAAGTCTAAGTTAACCTGTGTTTAAGGCTGAGCCACGGTTGAGACGTTGTCTTGATAAACAACGGTTAAACGATGTTTGAAGTACGTTATTAAAACGTGACTGAACTGTGTTTTGTCCTGTCAATGCTAAACAATTTCTCACGAGGAAATACATGGTTTGTGGGGTTATTTGTATGCACATTTAATTCCCTGTTGGAAGTTGTGACTCAATATGGTCGCTAAATCCGGTCAAACCACCAATTTATCAAAGAATAAAAACTGTTAATGACGGCAGTGGGAAGAGAATTTCCAGAAGCAAAAAAAGAAAGGAAACGACAAAACATTGCAAAAATCCAAGTCTCAAAATCCAGATTGTACCAAACGGAAACTGAAACTCCAATCCAAAGAACATGATTTGCAAAGAAAGGCTAGTGGAGAAAAAGCTCTCAGTTTGTATTGAAGTTATTCGCAGGAAAGAAGCAAATGTCACGAAAAAGGACGGAAAACAAGGATAGTCAGCAGTATAGTAATTTTTGAACGCCCCCCAACAATGAAGCTTTCACTTGGTATATGTCAAGTTCTCAACAAATCACAGGGTATGTTATTTTCGCTTCACAATCGCCCTTGAAACCTTGTGAATGGCTCAGCGTATGCAGTAAATACAGAAACACCAATTACATCGGCAATGATCTGCTCGAAAGTTGGCCCTTAGCCGTTGAATAAACTCTCAAAGCAATAAAAACTTGCAGCAACGGTGTAAGCAGCAGTCTCCTTGTATAATGCTGAACGATTTTTGTCCAAAATATTTAAGAGGTCACTGACCGAGTCTTTTCTATAAGGCAGAAACGTAAAACTATCCCTAAGGTGCGGAATTTGTTGAACATGTACTTTGCATCGATTGGGGTAGTCTTTTTTTGTGTCAAGTCTCTGTTGTTTAGGAGTCCGTCTATTTCAGGTCATTTAAAAATGGATGACCATGAAAAAACCATAAATCAAGGTTTAAACCTACCTGTGAGCAGGTTTAACTTTCTGTTCTTTCTTAGTCGGTGTGTAGTGTAGGGGGTTTACGAGCAACTCAGTCACTGAGCGTAGAGGTACCAGGTATCTGAGTTTACATCTTGTTGTTCTTTAATCTTTACAGCAGCTCATATGTAACTAATCTCAACTACTTTCTCTCTTCCTTGTGCTAAACACTGGCAACGTATATGAGTAAAACGTAGGTACGTCTAGGCTTGCTGACCATGAGAGTTACAAACGCTTTTCCGAGTGACTTAAACGAATTTCCTGTTGATGACCAAAGGGGAATAGACAAACCCGTAAGAAAACCAATGAAAGCGTGACAGCTAAACCCACGAGACTCTACCTTAAACCAAAACAGGAACTCTGATGTAGGTATCAATCAAGGTCAGTAATGGTTCCAAAACGTACCCACTTAAAAACTGACAATCAAACTTAATTAAACCCCAAGCTTGATGACACTTCGGTCGACAAACCCATTAAAAAGGTATTCACACTCAAAAACTGTTAACACATATACGGATTAACCTTGATCTATAAACTGATCATAACAAGACTCTAGTCACGAATGAAACGTCAAGCACAAACACGAAATATACTTAAAGTAACCTACAGAATACTTCACAACATTCCTCCCTCCTTAGAAGAAGCATCGTCCTCGATGCAATTGGACGTATATGAATGAAAAAGTAAGGAACAAACGTAACTAGCGGAAGAACACTAAGGAAAATTTGAAAAAGTACTGAGAAAATAATGCGAAATATCAAAACGACTATAAAACTACCACTAATATTACTCAAGAGTTCAACGTTAAATGTCCAAAGTAGATGAAAGTTCTTGAATCCTGAGTGCTTGAAAACAAATGCATGTCAGCCTTCTAGTGTGAACATCTTGAAAAAGTTTAGATCAGTAGACACAGATTCATCTTGTAGGAGAATAGACGACTGTGCTGCAGTTCATCTTGTCTTGTAAATCAGCACTGTCTGCAGACTTCATACTGAGGTTGATTCTCTTCAGCATGCACAGAATTATTTGGTTCAAAACAATCTTTTGGAATATCAGCTTCATCC